ACTAGTATATTATGGATAAATGTTAAGGTGAATCGACAAAAGATGGATAAAGTTCCAACGTATGAGAGGAGCTAAGGATTTCATCCTTTAGATAAACAATAATAAGAAAGCATTGGAGGACTTGAATTTATACATCTATGATGAGAAGCGGGAGACCTCGATAATAATAAAACCAAGGTGAGAGTTATGGTATAGTATAGCCTACCTAGATACAGTAAAGTCATACGGATGAATAACCAGGTCTATAAAATAAGATATAACAATATTTGTATCGAGCGAAGAACTTCAATATAGATACCTAGAGGGACATCTTATTAAGCTCTGTATATGCTTACAAAGTGAGGCATAGAGATTGGCTAACAACTGGAGAAGAAAGGAGAGAATAGTCGCATAGGCACACATACAAGGAAAAAATCGTACATGTTGCATGATAGAAGATAGCAAGAGTTACGATATTAGATAAATTCCAACCCCTGACCGTGGTGTGAGAAAGATGCCTAAAGGGTGAAATGCCCTGGACTTTGGATTTATTCAAAGAACAGTTGCCTAAATGGCAAGAAGAGTATTAAAGTATTAGCAAAAGCTATGGGTTATGAGAATGATAAGTGCATTAGACAACATTCGAGGACGAATGTTCCAAAGGGGGGAATGATGTTACACCCCATGTTTTCGTACGTAAAAGTATGCCATAAGAAAATTGGTGAAAGCTCGGATATGAGATAGCACATCCTGCATTTTCGTACATTAAAGTTTTGTCGTAAGTTAATTAATGAAAGTTCAGGAATGAGATTATTTTTGAGATTATAAACATTATGCTATTTCAAACAAATGATGAGTAAATTCATGAAGTTGAGAGGGAAAGAAAGTCGAAGAAAATGAATTTCATAGAGGTTTGGCATTTTGGGATAAAATACGGCCCGAACTAAAATACCCGATATTTATGAACTAGTACCATACAAGGTACCCCATGGCGATAATAATAAGGTGTATAAGGTATGTTAAAAGCAAGTAGTATTCTTAGTAATTTGAGATAATTATGTGGGTAATTAGTTAATTATTGGTTAGTGAGAGATTAATAAATTATTAATTAATTTAAAAAATGGATAAGTTTGAGAGTCTTACCTTTAACGTGGCATCCATGAGTTTAAAAGCTATTAATGACTAATATAAGACATGGCAAGGTGTCACCATTTTAGACTATTTAACAAGATTTCTATATATTTAAACCTTTTGAACATGATCGATACAAAATATGTGCACTCCAGCATTCTGTAAGCCTTTTAAAAANTTAAATCCTACATGCAAAATGCGACATATTTTTGTATTTTTTATTAATTTAGCGAATAAATACGCACAGACAAATACAAATAATTCTTCAAAATATCACAAAATTGCACACCAAAGAAAAATCATTTTATTTTTGATTTTTTTGGGAGTAATTCTCATATAGGGCAAAAATCACGTGCTTACACATATATCTTTAAACCTTTTGAACATGATTTATACAAATATGTGCACTCCAGCATTCTGTAGGCCCTTTTAAAAACGTAAGTTACATAATACAGGCACTTTAGTAATACAAATAATATTTGCTTACTCCCCTCCCCCCCCTTAAGATTAGAAGATACAACATCAAGTTTTAGGGAGATTGCATACGGATTTTCCCCCTACTTATCCGCCGTTACGTGTTGTTGCAATTGACGTGTGTTAAAAGGATTGTCAAGAGAATTGGTTCATGTATGTTAAGGCTAACCCTTCTTTCCATTTGGCATGATCCGTACGATACAACCAAAATAAGCAAATGCACAATTTCCATAAATGACTCTATTCATAGAAGTATTAGAGATGTCTGCATTATTAAATTCTCATGTGTTNATATATATATATGTATATATGTATATATGTATATATATGTATATATGTATATATATATATATGTATATATGTATATATGTATATATATGTATATATGTATATATGTATGTATATGAGATATGAGAAAAGATTACGGCGTTGTCATGCATATGCATATGCATATGTATATGAGATATGAGAAAAGATTACGGCGTTATATATGCACCACCACCTGATCAGCTGGTATATGTTAATGATTTGCCCACAGTGGCCGAGATGATATAATGGGATGCCCTTAGAGGCTTGATGATGTTATGAACACATGTACTTATGCATGACATGATATACATATGCATATGCATATGCATGACACTATGAGTATTTCATTATTTACAGAGTTATTCAGACTTACATATCGAGTCTTTTACTCCATGTTTCTCTCATGTCTATCATTTGCTGATTTTCATTCCTTGCATACTCGGTACATTATTTGTACTGACGTCCCTTTTGCTTGGGGATGCTGCGTTTTATGCCCGCAGGTCCTGATAGACAGGTCGAGAGTCCTCCAAGTAGGCTATCAGCTCAATGGAAGATGTTGATGCACTTCATTGCTCCGGAGTTGCTTAATTGGTGAGTACGATTAGTACACGTATTTATTGGTACGGCGGGGTCAGTCACGACCTTTGTAATGAGTGTTTACTCTTAGAGGCTTGTAGACATACATCATGTGTACGGATGTTTGTATGGACTTGTCGGCCTATATTTAAAGTAGGGAAAGTTTCGTTCCTATACCATATAGGAAACTATATTACCAAATATGTTCATAGTTTGCATATTACCTACCATGCTAATAGTATTTCTACAAAATATAGACAACTCATTAAATAAAGAATCATTGTAGCTGTAGATTTCCTTATTTAGGCGCGCTAAAATTGGAATTAAATATTCTTCCAGGTCTTCTACAACGTAAATCACACACATTCATAATTATCGTCGGTTTCATTTCAAATTTCCATACTTTGTTTTTGCGACACACTCTGTTTCAAGCTTTTTTCTGATTTCACAAATCAAAAACGACCAAATCTTCTACAATTCTTCTACAACAAACGCAATTATGTCCAAAATCCTAATTAGGCTACAACTGAATGGAATTGGGATAGCTATGGGAGATTTAGAGAATTTCAGGTCGATGGCATTGTAGTCGATGAGGATGCGAGTTATAGTCTATTGATTTCTACAATAGCACAACAATTAATGATCGATACATCCGAAAAAATTATAGAAATCAGATATATTGTCAACGAGCATTGTCCTCCAATGGAAATTAGGAATGATATGGGTGTTCGTGTATACATGGAGACGAAAAGGGAAAAATAAAACTTAGGATCATATCCGTTATGTATAACTGTTCGCGATTTTAATATGGAATTGAATATCACCAATGAGAACACAACTGCAGGTGTGTGATGTTAATTTTTCTATCAAATTCTGGTTTTATGCCAATGTACTACACTTTATCTACAAATAAACTACATGTCAGAGTAAATATATATCAGTATGGATTTTCATAATATACATTTATTCTACAATAAAACTACATATCATTTGAAAAATTAATATGAAATACATAATTTCAACCTTTCTACAAATTATCTACAAAATTTCTATAAACTGTTCATAATAGTATTTATATTTATTTTCATACAGGTTCGTCTGGAACACTAAAGTTACTTGATATGCCAACATCTCCCATTATAGAGAAATATGAAAGTATAATAATAACAGATAGTACACCAAGTTCTATTAAAGTAGGACAAGTATACCAAGACAAGGAAACAATTGCAACTGCAATGAAGCACTATTCTGTCATGCACAAGTTCCAATTCAGGGTTAAAAGATCTAGTGCTAGAAGGTATGAGCATATGAATGGTCAAAGATCATTATTTTTTTAATTTTGTAGTTTATTTGTAATTTTTTACTTCTTCAATTTTTTCTTGTGATAATGTTTATCAGAATTGTAGATAAATTATAGTTATGTTGTATATAGATGTATAATGTGATCGTTTAAGCTAAAATAATTTTTTTTCTTTTTAAATCTACATTTTAAACCAGTGTTTAAATTGTATTTATGTTGTAGCTACTGGCTGATATGTGTTGGTGAAAATTGTACATGGCACTTCAAGGCAACTAGCATAAATGATTCTACAATTTTCAAGGTCAGAAATTTCAACAGCCAGCACACATGCTCTTTAATAGACAATACATTCATACAACGCAAACCTACTGTCATGGTAATTGGTAGCATGGTTATTCCAAAATATTCTGATCCTAAGACAATTTACACACCAAAAGACATACAATTTGACATGTTGTCTGAACACGACGTGAATATAACCTACATGCAAGCTTGGAGAGCAAAGGAAAAGGCTTTACAGTTTTTGAAAGGTCATCCTACGGACTCCTACAGCAAATTGCCTAGTTATTTGTATATTCTAGAGAAGACTTATCCAAGGTCTGTAGTTAAATTGAAGAAGACGGATGACGGCTGCTTCTTGTATATATTTGTTGCGATTTGTACGTCAATCAGTGGTTGGAAATATTGTAGGCCAGTTATAGTAGTTGATGGGGCCTTCTTAAAGTCAGCATACAAGGGAATAATGCTAACATCTAGTACAATAGATGCAGCAGGTATTGAAGTTTTATTGTAGAAATATTGTAGCATGTATGTTTTTTTAGTACTTGAAGATTTATTGTAGATATATTGTAGAAAAGTTGTAGTTTGTATATATATGTTTTCTTCTGTATTTTTTCTGCAGCCAATTAATTGTCTTTTGCCACATAATATAGGTACCATATTACCATTGGCATATGCTATTGTTGATTCAAAGAATGACACATCGTGGAAATGGTTTTTTGAGCAATTCAAACATGCATATGGTGAAAGACCAAATATGTGTGTTGTTTCGTATCGGAATGAGAGTATCTTGAAGGCAACACCTATTGTTTATCCCGGCATGCCACATTATTCTTGCATGTGGCATATTTGGACAAATATACGGGCAAAGTTCAAGAAGGGACATCTAAAGTTAAGTGAATTATACTTTGCCACGACACGGTCATATACCCTTGAAGAATTTAATGAAAGGATGTCAAAGATTGAAGAGATTGGCCCCCGTGTTAAAGCATACTTATACGATATTGGCTATCATAGATGGTCTCGAGTACATGCTACGGTGAACAGAACTTGGACTACGACATCAAACATTGCAGAGTCGTTGAATATTGTAACAAAATATGCAAGAGAGCTATCGATAGTAGAACTATTAGAGTATATGGGGACCCTTCTTGAATGTTGGACGAAGGAAAAGTTATTGAAAGCAAATGGTACATTCACATACCTTGGGTTCAAATTCAACAAAGAGTTGGATGACAACAAAACATTGTCACACAAGCTTAGAGTAAGATCTAATTATTTATTAAATCAAATTAATTTATACAGGACAATGTAGATATATTGTAGATATTTTGTATATAGTTTGAGTTTAACCATATATGAATTTTTGTTTGTAATGTAATCACAGGTGAGGGATTTAACATACTATATCCATACAGTACTAGATGGTGTGAGGCGCTATATTGTTTGTCTTAAAAACAAGAGATGTAGTTGTGGGCAATTCCAGCTTTACGAACTTCCTTGTCCACATGCTTTGGCTGCTTTAAGACGCATGGATGAGTCTTTTGAACAATATTGTTCTCCTTATTACACAAGGGCGAATCTCTTGCGTACTTATGAAATACCAGTAAATCTCCTGCCTGATGAAAGCAAATGGAATGTGCCACAACATATATCTGAAGAAGTAGTAAATCCACCTAAAGGAGGGAAAAGGCAACCAGGAAGACCTCAAAAAGAAAGATACAAAACATATGATGAAATAAATTCAAAGAAGCATAAGGTTTCATGCGGCAACTATGGAGGAGAAGGGCATAACAAAAGATCTTGCAAGAATGCACCCAAAAAGAAATAAAATTTTATATAGTTAGCAGAATATTTCATAAAAATTGTTGGTGAGTTCAGGATAACAGATTTTGATGTGTAATTGTTGAGGTTTTTTAATAATGTAGTTAGTTAGGATTTTGTTGTGTTGAGATAATACTTTCATGAGTGATTTGTTTATGAATGGTTTATATATATATATATATATATATATATATATAATCTACAACTTTTTTACTATCTCTGGAATCCTTTACACAATTATTAATGTGTTTTTGCAGTTTATCTACGATAAAACTACAAAAAAATACATTAACTGGAATTTACAGAGTATCTACATTATAAATCGGTAGGAAAGTAGTTAAAAACTTAAAATATTGTAGATGAAATATTGTTTACATTCAACAAATAATAAAAGAAACAAAACACACTGTTAAATATTATCTACAAATACAACTACAAAAAAACTACAATATATGTAGCTGATATAATAGCTAGATTATAATACAGCTAGAAAAAAGCTATATAGTAAAAATAATGTAGATCAGGTACTTTATACATTCAACAGATTGAATTGAAAAGCAACAAAATGTTTAGTTATTATTTTTTACACTTTATTTACAAAAAAACAACAAAATAACTACATATTTTTGCGTTGACAGAATAACTGTATAAAAATTCAGTTGGAAAGGATTTATATGCTAAAAATAATGAAGATCAAGTACTGTAAAGATTTAACAAGTTAATATAAAACCAACAGAATGTTTCCATTTGAGCTACTATACTGGATAAGAAAAAAAAACAAAGGCTACTATAGTTGTAGCGCAAGTCAGCTACAATTAAAACAACAAAAATTGTTCAAAAACTTGTCTATCATCTTTCTTCTAAACTAGCATCAACTAAACAATTGTACTAGATATTCCATACAAAACATTACAACTACTCCTTCTTCCTCTGGACTCGTGTTTTCTCATTCAAAGATGGTGCACCTTTTCTCCTAGCCAATTTGCTTGTCACCTCACTATCACTAATTGCACCATGCTTCTGCTTCTTTCTAGCATAGTCCCAAAGTAGCGCTCCATAGAGTCTACGGTGTTGGTCAATATCAAAAAATTCTTCTGCCGGAATTGATAACTCTTCAAGACTAACATACTCCGCAAAGACAGCAACAAATACACCAAAATCGCTGCAAAAGATAAAAAATGTCAATATTTACCAAACCATCAGGAAAAAAGGGTTAAATGTGTAGAAAGAAAGAAGATTTTTGTTACAGCTCAATTTTTCCCTATATATTTTCAATATGCAAAATAACTTCAAAATAGCATATATATGCATATGTAAGTATATCCAAGTGTTTTATTATTTTTCCATAATTTTTAAAGGTTTTAAAATTAATTTATTTCCCTCTTTTATTCACAAAAAAACCAATAATTATTTACAAATTTATTATTTTGGTAATTTATTTGTTGGACTTTTATATTTATGCTAAGATATAGCTAAGGTAATTTTTTGCATATTTTTACAAATTTATTTAGTATTTTTAAGTTAAATGGCATATAATTGCAATATTGACCTTTTTAAGATTCAATTTCGTTTTATATTCATAAAATTAAGCCCTATATTTTTAAATTATTAATTATATGTTAAAAATCATTTTAGTTCTCTCAATTTATTTCCAAAAATTAATTTATTATTTTTTATAATTTTAAAAGGGGAAAATGACNTCCCTATATTTTTAAATTGTTAATTATATGTTACAAATCATTTTAGTGCTCTCAATTTATTTCCAGAAATTAATTTATTATTTTTTATAATTTTAAAAGGGAAAAATTGGCTATTTAAATAATAGCCCAATTACATTTCAATTTTAGCCTAAATCTGACCCCAAATTAAGCCCAATTTCCCCAGCCCAATTCCCATTCAAACCCGACCCCTAACCCAATTAAAAGACCCAACCCGAATTCCCCACCTACCCTTTTGAATCCAGGCCGTTGATCACTCAGATCAACGGCCACCATTCGCCCTTCCATAATTAAACCCAAAAGACCCCTTACCCTACTTCATTCTTCACCAAACACCGCCTCTGAATCCCCTCTTCTCTCAATTCTCTCTGAAAGCTCACATGTACCCTAGCCATCGCCATCTCATCCCACTCTAATCCGCCTTAACCTCTGCCTAATCCATGGCCTCTCGTGGCCATTGGAGATGTGTATCAGCCTCCTATGGCTCCTAGGTGTTTGTTTCTGTGGTTTCATGGCCATACCTCGAAGCGATCTGGTCCAGTCCTTGCTCGACTTCTGTTCATGGCCTTTCTCTGACCATCAATGACCTTTCTCCGGCCATTCATGGCCTTTCAAGGCAGGTCCTTGACTTTCCTGGTTAGATCGGTAACTTTCAAGGTCTTTCTCACCTTTTCTGGGTTTTCCGAAACCCTAATCTTTAAGGTCTTTCAATTTTCTTTCAGATTTACCTTAGATCTGTACTTACTATGAACTTCTTAAGTGCTTTCTCGAAGGTTCTTCAAACTTTTCTTTCAAAATGACTCTTCATTTTCCGATTAGGGTTTCTCTTAACCTCTCTTTTAAAGATCTCTTCTATGATTTTGGTGTTGTTTCATGATTTTGCTATGTTACATGTTTATGCTTTCCTTCTACTTGAGTCAGTATGTTTAAAACCCTAGTTCCTTTTAGTCTTACCCGAGTTCTGAAATTATTTGCTTAAATGTGTGCTTATCTTAAGTTCTTCGTTTATGACTCTCTTTTCTTTGTTCGACTTGTCTGATTTGAGTTCTTTTCATCTATTAAACTCGACTACCGTCGAAGCCCTAATTTTTTAAAAGGGGTTTTCTTTTCACTTATTACTACTGTGAGACCCTTACTTGTTTCTGGTTCTCTTTACCTGTTGATATGTTTCTTCACTGTTGATTCTATGTGACTACTTGACCTACGCGACTACTGTGCTCCGAATATTTTTCTTACTGCTGAATCCTAGCTTACCATGTTGCTACTATATGCCTGTGTTATATCTTTTGCTAATGTGTTTGGCCTCGCATGTCTAATGCTTCTGTTCACTCTATTTATACACTGAAATGCAGAATCATGTTTCTTCCTTGATTGATCTTGATCTTGTGACTAATTGCAAAAACTTTTCTTTTATGAACCCTAATTTCACTCTCTTGTTTAAATTAATTGATTCCTTTCCTTTACTCTGATGTTTTGCCTTGCTGAACCCTTTCCCAAAATAAGCCTATTTTGTACTTAGACTTGATCATTTACTTCATGCTTTTACTGCCCCCTTATATGGCAATAATCAATCTGTCCCCAAACTGATTTCTTTCCTTAATTAAACCTGCTACTACCCGTTAAACAGTGATTCCTTAATTAAAGGGAATCACTTGTGTTAATTGATTCTGACTTGTGATTGTTTCCATATTTGTGTTTAAGACTTTACCTCTTCTTCACTCATTTTCAAAACTATAAATACCCAGCCCCTCTTCTTTCAAGGACACGGACAGTTGAGTTCAAGAACACACACTTACACTCAAAACTTTCTTTCTTTTCTCTACTACTATTACACTTGTGCTACTGCTTTGTCTAGCCGGCTGAAAGCCAAAGCTAGACTGTGGAATCTTGCTTATTTCTTTCTTTCTGCACTTTGCTTCTCTACTGGTATGTCCTAGTTAATCTTCAAGCATCAACAACAACATGTTTCTTTAGCTGTTTCAGTTTCCTTCACTCTTGCCTGCTTCTGCTTATGTTTGTGCAATCAAGTTACATTACTAAGCATGCAGTAATTTGCTCACTTCCCTTCTAAATTAATATTTTCCCTTATGTATGTACTCTGTCAGTCACTTGTTATGTGATTTGCTGACTTATGAATCCCAAACCCCCATATCCCCCTATGTGTTTGTGTCCTCTGGTTGGTTTGTGGGCATGCCAACACCATCTATTGATGTACATGACCAAACCTGACCATTTTTGGGGTCATATGCTTCATGCAATGTAATCCCAAAACCCCTGACCCCTTTGTGTAACTACTGATTCTGTGTAGTTTGAGTTTTATTACCACTATTTTCAAATCACCCTTACCACTTACTATTTTCAACCCAGTTTTAAATAATCTCTGTACTCTGCACTTCCACTATATTCTTATAATCTAGGTTCTGCCCCTCTTGTGTGAGCCTTGCCTTGGGACCCTTAAGCTCCCTCTGAACTAGGACACATAAGGGCTGGCCCTTCCACACTGCACTCATCTCTATCTGGTTATGCAAACCTGGGTGTAAGAACTGTCCGGGGTCCCTTGAGACCCTTAGGGAACTTTGACACACCCAGGTCTGAGAAAGGCTTTGAAATAAGTGGCATTTGAGGTGGTTTATTCCATAACTCAGAGAGGAAGTCAGAATCAGGCTTCCTATGGTTGTAATTACACTTTTCTGATGTAATTCAGTATTTGGTCTGTAATAATTTGTAACAAATATTGGGGGATGGCTAGTGAAAAGAGATGATGTAATTATGCATGTTTTAGCTATTAGAAGGGTAGAGAACATGCCTATAGGATCTGTTCTATTTTAATTCAAGTTCTGCATGCTTTATTTTCACGTAGATAAAGATCATGCCTATAGGAATTTCACTTTAATCAAATAAATCCTGCCTACTTCACTACATGTTCCATACTTATAGGATCAAAATTAGCCGTTAACACTTAGATACCATGCCTATAGGAATTGAAATTAGCTATAATAGAGATCATGCCTATAGGATCTAAAATCAGTATAGTTAAAATCAGTTTGACTCATACTATTCTGAATTAGTTTAAATAACTTACTCATTTTATTAATACGGTCTAGAAAGTATGCCTATAGGATCCAAATCGCCTGTTTAAATCAACTACTGCTCTGCTGCATTCTTAATCAGTGACCGATATCATGCTTATAGGACATCACCAATACACACTTAAGCAAGTCTTAGGTAATTGCTTAATAAAATTGGATTCGCCTTTGTTTAATTAGCAACTGCTACAACCAGCAGGTAGGCCTGATTCGGACTTCTTATCTAAGTTATGTAATAAATATGGTCTGCTTCAACAATTAAAACATCCTGCCTTAGTACTTTAAATTCTGACCCTAACTGTGTTTAAGTCATGCCATTTATGTGCATTGTATGCGGAGGTATATATGAGCCTCTTATTTGTTTATATGTTTCCCCTAATATATAGTCCTACGTATTTTGTATGCCGCCTTAGCCTTTTTACCTTTAAAACCTAAGAGTCAGCCTAAAACCCTCCCTCTTATAGGAATAGTAGTCCTAAATTCCTCCGGGACTGATAGGAATGGGACGGGTAATAGCATGCAATA